AATTCTAGACAAGGCCTCACATCTAACATGCGTTGTCTGACCTAAAATGTCACCTCTTCTTTACACTGATAAAACCTTTCGTTCTCACAGGACAGCGACGTCAAAGAAATTTGGGGATTTACATATACATATTAGTCAATTAAAACCTTCTAACTGATTGAAGATTTACATTTGTTTGTTACATCCTTATCAATGGTGTGACCCTTTGATCTTTTACTTATAAATTCTATGTCAGATACTGCCTCTCTCATTAACAGCTGAAGGAGTAAGACTCTGAAAGCTTGTGTTTTCAAATAAACCAGCTGGACTATAACCTGATGCCATGTGCTTTCTGACTTTATTAATCAAGATATTGAATACAAAAGCAGAGAGGTTATGATGTTAACTAGGCCAATACTGGATTATCATAGTTTTGGTCACCGCATTATAGGAAGGATGTGATTGCACTGTGGGAGTGCAAAGGAGATACACCAGGGTGTGGCCTGAGCTAGAGTGATTCAGTGATGAAGAAAAACTGGATAGGCCGAGGCTGTTTTCCTTAGAACAGAGAAGGCTGGGGCGTTGGGGGGAGAGGGGGGATCTTTTTGAGATGTACAAAGTTCTGAGAGGCACAGGGTAAATATGGAGAAACTTTCCCCCTTAACAGTAGGGTCAGTAACCAGGGCACAGTATTAAGCTAAGAGGCAGGAGGTTTAGAGGAGATTGGAGGTAGCATTATTTGCTCAGAGGGTGGTTGGTATCAGCACTCTCTGCCTAAAAGGGTGATAGAGGTAGGAATCCTCCCATGACAAGTATTTAGATGAGCATTTGAAATGGCATTTCCTACAAGCTATGGGCCAAGTACTGGGAAATGGGATGTGAAGTGATAGTTGTTTAATGACAGCACGAACACAATGGACAGAAGGGCCTCTTGGCGTGCTGTGAAGTCTCAGTGTGGTGCTCCATCAGTACTGACCCTCCAACAGGGTGATGCTGGGACTGTCAATCTGGCTTTTTGATTAAATCTCTGAAGTATGTTCTAAATTAAAACTTTGAGTCAGATGGGAGAGTGAGAGAGAGAGTAGGAGAGAGTGCTACCCACTGAGCCACAGAGAGATTCACCTAATCAGAGGGAGCTGTGTATTTTTCCTCTTGTTCTGAATGTTTGCACCTGTTCGTACTGTCTGCAACTAACATCTGCTCTCATTGAGTTTCGAAATGCGAGTAACATTTCCAACTTCCTGTTTTTGTGACACGTTCTCTTTGCTTAAGAACAGCAATGGATCTTGTAGTCAAAAATCACTGGACACACATTCTCCACACATTGAGGCTTCCTCAGCCGAAGGCCGATGTTCTCTCAAAACTGCCCAAAGCATCACACAGCCTGGCCTCCCATAGCACGATTTAGCAACAAGCCTCTCCCACCCTCCCTCATCATCACCCTAACATCCCCTCTATCCTTTGCTTCCTTTCTCCCTTCCTCATATGTTTATTGAGCTTCCCCCCAGCCCACCAAACATGCTTGACATGATTCCCCTCGAGCACTCCCTGTGGGAGTGAGTCACACATTCTCCCCACTCTAGGGCCACAACATTGCTCCTGAATTCTGCACTGGATTTATTTAGGACTGGCTGAGATTATTACTCCATAGTTCTGGTCTCCCCCACTATTCACAGCATCTTCTAGAAGTGCAAGAGGAGATCTGGAGAGTTCAGGGCAACAGAGAAAGCAAAACAGTTGGAATGAAGCAACGATGTGTGTGTCTGCACGCCTGTGCATATTTGTGTGTGTGTTGCACACACATATATACACAATGTTGGCCTTCATTGTGAGAGATTTTGAGTACAGGAGCAGGGATGTGTTGTTACAGTTGTACAGGGCCTTGGTGAGACCACACCTGGAATAATGTGTGCAGTTTTGGTCGCCTTTTCTGAGGAAGGATGCTCTTGCTGGTGAGGGAGTACAGCGTAGGTTTACTAGGCTAATTCTGGGGATGGCGGGTCTGGTGTATGAGGACAGAGTGACTAGGTTGGAATTGTTTTCACTGGACTTCAGACGAATAAGGGGGATCTCAGAGACTTATACAATTCTAACAGGACTGGACAGGCTCGATGCAGGGAGGATGTTCCCGATGGTGGGGGTGTACAGAACCAGGGGTCACAGTATGAGGATTTGGGGCAGACAGTTTAGGACGGAGAGTGAGGAGACATTTTTTCACCCAAAGAGTGGTGAGCCTGTGGAATTCATTACCACAGGAAGTAGTTGATGTCAAAACATTGAATGCATTCAAGAGGCGGCTAGATACAGCACTTGGGGCAAATGGGATCAAAGGTTATGGGGAGAAAACAGCATTTAGGCTACTGAGTTGGCCAATCAGCCATGTGATTGCGCCTATGTATCTGTATGTGTCCATGTGTGCGCCAGTGGGTGTGTATATCTGTGTCAGTATGTGCCTGTGTAGGCGTGTGTGTCTGTGTCTGTGTGTCTGCCTATGTGTGTCCATGCAGGTGTCTGTGTCTGTGTGTAACTGTGTCTCTGTGTGTATGAGTGCGTGTCTGTCTGTCTGTCTGTCTATGTTTGTGTGAGTATGTGTGTCTGTGTGTTTGCAGTGCCACTTGCAAAGCCTCCGATCTCTCTAGCCCGGCCAGCGTTCCTGCCCAGTCTGCTTCAAGCTGGAAAATGGAGGACAGGCCAGCACAGTGGCCTCATACTTGCTGTACTGATCTGCGTTCCTTATTTCAGATTACAACAATGAGTTGCATTTATCTAGTGCCTTGGGCTAACAGCATCCCGAGAACAAATGCTGTCCGTGTGGCATGTTTATGAGGGCAGCCTGTGATAGAGGGACCCCATGCAAGTCTGGGACCTCACTCAGGTCATAGAAGAGTATCCTAGTCAGTGAGGGAGGGTAACATTCCTCCAACGAACAGCAATCAGCAAACCTGGAGCAGCATTTCGTCTGATTCCCCACAGCTCACAAATCGTCACCACTACTAAATCCCCATAGCTGTCCAAATTAATTAAAACCCCTGACCCAGTTAACACTGCCCCTAGCACAATAATTTGATTGAATCACATTGTAAGGCACCCAACTTCATCTGGAGAGCTGGCAATCCAGAGAGAGCCAAGTGGCCTCCGACTGTGTTGCAACTGACCAGCATTCGTTATTTTATATAACAACAGATTGTATTTGTCTAATACCTTCAACGTCATAAAACTCTACAAGGCACTTCACAGGAGCATCAAGCAGAGTGGATTTGACCCCGAGCCAGACGAGGGACAGGTGACATAAAAGCATGGTCAAAGAGCTCAGTGTTAGGAAGGGAATTCCCGAGCTGAGGGCCCCAGGCAGCAGGAGGCAAAGCCCCCAATGTTGGAGCAATGGAAATCGGGGAATGCTTGGCAGGCTGGGATTAGAGGAGGTGGCAGAGACAGGGAGGGGTGTAGGGGCTGGAGGGGGTTACGGAGATAGGGAAGGGTGGAGGGGCTGGAGGATGTTACAGAGATAGAGAGTGGCCAGGAGGGGTGACAAATAGGGAGGGGCCTTGAATGATTTGACAGAATGATGAAGATTATAAGTTTGGAGCATGGCTGGACAGGGCGTTAAAGTGAGTCTGTGAGCACAGGGGTGTACTGGGCGAACGTAAATTGCCAAGGTTGTGAGTGCAGTGCTTTGGACACATTGTACTTGTCACAGCAAGTTCTCAGTTACTGAAAGTTTATCTATAAAGCCCTTGTACTGTTGGTCAGAAAAGGTGGTCAGCACAAGGGTGATAGTACATCAAAAGTGAACAGACACGCACAGTTGTCTTGATGGAACTGAAAAATAGACATCTCCGTTAACACCAAATCAACAGCTGTATGCGCACGATATTCCACAGGCCAATGCGCCCTCCCCCCACTTTTATCTTTCCACCTTGCTGTCAAATTAATGTTTTCAAAGTCTCACATTCAGTTTTTCCACAACATAAAGCAAAGTTTCAGAGAGAAAAAAAATCTTGTACTTTGCCAACAAAGTTCACCACCACAGGAAGCATCAAAGCACCTTAGTAGGCAGATAGATTATTTCTCAAATAATCACCGTTATGACACTACAAAGGGTGATAATCACCATGATCATTCCTGTTTAAACGTTGGGGTAGAGGGGCTGACAGAGACACTACCACACCTATACCAGGCCCCACAGAGTACCAACTGTGGGATCATTCCTCTCTAACCAGGCAGGGCAGATACAACTTCAAAAACTCACTTCATCCATAACACAGCATCTCTATCGCTGACCCTCCCACAGCGCCGCGCTCCATCACCGCTGACCCTCCCA